CTAATTTCGTAGTAAGCAACTATTTCCTCCTAATTTCGTAGTAATATTTTACTACGTCTTTACGAGGAAAGTGTTTACTACGGCATTACGAGGAAAAGTACTTTTTCCTCGTAAGCTCCTCGTAAATTTACTAAGGTCTTACGAGGAAATTGTTTCCTCGTAAGGTTTCGAGGAGCTTACGAGGAAATTTGCTTTCCTCATAAGATCCTAGTAAAGGCTTAGTAAATTTACGAGGAAGAATTTTCCTAGTAAAATTTCCTAGTAAATGCTTTGTTTTCTTGTAGTGACAGCATCGTCGATGAGATGGCACGCTGAGCATGATTCTGAAGATGGAGTGATGTGTTATCCATCTGATGCGGCAGAGTGGAAGAATTTTAAACAATTGCATCCTTCATTTGCACAAGAAGCACGAAACGTCTATCTTGGATTGTGTACATATGGTTTTAATCCATTTGGAATGTCAAAGAATCATTCATTGTGGCATGTGATTCTGACTCCATACAACTTGCCTCCAGACATGTGTATGAGAAGAGAGTATTTTTTTTAGCGGTTTTGAATTCAGGACCAAATCATCCACGAGCAAGTCTTGATATTTTTCTCCAACCCTTGATTAACGAGTTAAAGAAGTTGTGGTATAATGGAGTTGAAGCATATGATGTGTCATTACATCGGAATTTTAACTTAAAGGCGGTTCTTCTATAGACTATAAGTGATTTTCCGGCATACGATATGTTTTCTGGATGGACAACACATGGAAGATTTATCGATAAAGCTCTGTGAGCAATCTATTTATCTCATTTCATTTCAATAATCCCTTTTAGAGTTCAAACCACTTGCTTTGGATTCTCCTACAGTATACACTGATAAGTTTAAGTGGTACTGGGTTTAGTCCATAGTGTATGGCCTATTGAATAAGCTAGGCCCATCATTTCCATTACTCACCCAACAAAAATTTGACATCGAATTTATTTTTGTATTCGTTGTTTGATAAATAAATAACCTAAACATCTATACTATTATTTGCGAAATGATTTTTCGCAACGGAGCTCTCACGTTAAAAGTTTAAGTGGTTAATATCAGTTATACCCTTAATAAAACTTTTATATATAACTAATTTTATAATTAAAAACGAAATTTAAAAAATAAAATTAGATTAGTATGTTATTATCTTAGATAACTTAGAATAATTAATATAATAAGTTTATAAAAAAATCAAAAATAAGATAATTCTTATATATGTTATTATCATCTGAATATAATATTGTAACAACATGATAATGCTTATATATCTTAATTTTATATATAATTGATTTTGGCTTTTGAAAATAATATTATTCTATTATAAAATTTAAAAATTAAAATTTAATATTTAAAATTTAAAATTTAAAAGTTGATTTTAATTAAATATTAATCAAACAAAAATATTTGTATAAAGATACTTTTAATTATATAATTAAATATTAGATATTAAAAATTGGAACGGTTCAAGTTAAGGATACCTTTAATGAAATTTATATATTTATATATAAATTAGTTAAAAGCAAATTTTATGTTAGTGATAGAAATTTATATATTATTATATTAGTTAATTTATTATAAATTAATAGGATAATTATCCACATTCATGCATATTTAAAACATAAGATATCTTAGAAAATATTATACAGTTATCTGGAAATAATATTTTTTATTATGAAAAATAAAAATTTAGTTATAAAACAATTTAAAATTAAATATTAAGAAAAAATGTAAATATATTTTCAAAATATTTTATTATGTGGATGTTTTTCAACACTATAATAAGCATATGGATTTTGATGAAAATTCATATAAAATTATTTTAATGTTTGATTTAGGTTTTTTAAAGCTATAAAAAATAACTTATAATATTATTTTAAAATTATCTTCGAAAGAAAATTATGCCCGCATATGCGGGCACAATACCTAGTTGAATTGTTAATTAAGAAAGTTTTCTTGGACGCTTTTTGTTAAATCAAAATATACTTTTAAAAATATGAAAGAACATATATACAAACGTTTTTATGAAATAAGCGGAAGCTTAGGTAAATGAGAAAACGGATCTAGAAACAGGCTCCAAGAGTTAATCAAATTAAAGCTACAACACAAATGAGTTCTTGTAAAAAAGCAGTACCATATATTACAAAACATAAAAAGTGCTGTAGAGTGTTTCTAGATCCCAAATTATTTCTAGAGCCCAAATTATTTCTAAAGCATAAATGTTTTCTAATCATATTTTAAAAAGATTTTTAAGAGCTACAGATTTTCTTTTATGTTTTTGGCTCTAGAAATCAATAAACCTAAAACATTTATTTTTATTTAGAAAAATTATATGTAAATCACTAAATATTTTATAGTTTACAGCCAAAATCATATAGCACAAGTTATTTACAACTACATCAAAGAAAATCTATGGTCTTAATTCTACAGCAAAAAAATATAAAGTTACAGTTTTTGCCAATCAACCCTAGTAAAATGGTCAAGAGAATCCTGATTATGGAAAATTTTGGAATCCAAGGATTTGATGTTGTTCCAAGAGCACGATTTGTTTTCTCTATTTGTGGAAAAATAATAATGAAAACGAATGTATTGGTGAGCTATAAATGAGTTGGTTGTTCGTTTACATTTTCTCTTTGTCTGAAAAGTCCACACAGAAATTACGATGATGGTATCCTCACACTTTCTCGGTTTGCTTTTAAAACTTTTCTCGATCAAAGTGAACTAATTCATGGTCACATGACAACGAAGAACCGTCGTAACATGCCGGAGACCGTCCTTCATTAATGCTAGTTTGATTTTGGAGAGAATGATTACTTTTAAAAAGGAAATTAGTTACCATCACTTTATCAGAGAACACTCTCATGTGCAGATTTCTTGGTATATCGCAATACGGATAGTTTTTTTTGAGTCGTCAAAGTCAACTAGTGGAGTAAATGGACATGCACCAAGGGAGAAAATATCAAGATCTAGGGATCAATACAATTTTATTCAACGCACAAGTAGAATAGTTCTTTTAAAAACAAGGCAAACACCAAAGTTATTTGCAAACGAGTGTGTGTTTGTGAGAGTTTGAGTTTTTATATATTCCTTATAAAATCATATGCTATATCTTTTTGGAAAGAAGATGGAATTGCCCTAAAATCTATTGATTCATATGTTAATGAAGAGCTGATTAAATATTTGAATGATGTGGAGTTTGGATTATCCACATCTCAGCCTTTCGCATGAACCACACAAAAATAGGTTCAGCACGTTTTAGCCTTCTTTCAAGACACTATGTAAGAATATCCCCATCGAGTAGGTTGATACAGTCACACAATAATACCTTGACAACTCAAACAAGGACCTCTATGAAAGGACGACAGAAAGCGACGTCGTATGAGACATAACACACCGCGAAAAATACAGGTGGAACTATAAACACTTGTCCACACATGGGCACAAAGAGCATTTAAGGAGTTGAAGGCAAGTGGTGGTTAGGGGGGTATGCGATTTAATTAACCGGCCCATGTAGATTGGTAAGTGTTAGCCGTCTATATCCGTACTTAATAGGAGTAGTATACTTCAACCTCAGATCTTTCTACTAAAACCCTTGTATTATAAATTCTACGTACACTCCCACTTATTCTCCTCAAATTCATCAAAAATCCCATTTCTATTCTAACTTCCACAAAAATGGCAATTCGTCTCCCTTTGATATGTCTTCTTGTTTCAGTCACGGCCATTGCGGCTGATTTAACACCGGAACGTTATTGGAACTCTGCCTTACCAAACACTCCCATGCCAAACTCTCTCCGTCATCTTTTTACGTCAGGTTAAATTTCTTTTTTACTGCCTATTTCATATTTTGTCTCTTCTAGTTCTGTTCTGCACCACTATCTCTTAAGTGAGAAGCATAGTTTCTTTTACTGCCTACTTCATACTTGCTTTCTTCTAGTTCTGCACCACTATCTTAAGTAAAAAGTATAGTTTCTTCCTAATTTCTTTAGGAATCTTCTGTATCTGATTTTCCATAGTTATAATATGTTTCAAAATTAATATTAATTACGGAAGATACAAAAAAAAGAAAAACTATATATATGATAGCTCTAAATGCCAGAAAAAATATGGTTGGGTACTTATTACATGTCCTATATATCTATATTTTAACATATATATGAAGATGTGTGTCACAAGCTGATTGGTTACAGAATCGTAAATAATTCGGGAAACTGTACGTTAATCATGTTAGAATATTATATTGCATTGTTGCAGATTTCACTGACGAGAAAAGCACCAATGTCCAAGTAGGAAAAGGAGGCGTGAACGTTAACGCCGGAAAAGGTAAGCCTGGCGGAGGAACCGCCGTGAACGTTGGAAAAGGAGGTGTACATGTGGACACCGGGAAGGGCAAAGGAACACACGTGAGCGTTAGCGGCGGAAAAGGTCACGGCGGAGGCGTAGGAGTCCACACGGGGAAGCCAGGAAAGAGAACCGACGTAGGAGTTGGCAAAGGCGGCGTTATAGTGCACACGCGGCACAAGGGCAAGCCGGTCTACGTCGGTGTGAAGCCAGGACCAAACCCTTTTGCGTATAACTATGCAGCGAGCGAGACTCAGCTCCACGACGATCCCAAAGCGGCTCTCTTCTTCTTGGAGAAAGACATGGTCCCCGGGAAAGCTATGAACCTCAGGTTTAATGCGGAGGATGGTTACGACGGTAAAACTGCGTTCTTGCCACGTGGAGAGGCGGAAACGGTGCCGTTTGGGTCGGAGAAGTTCTCGGAGATCTTGAACACGTTCTCGGTGAGACCTGGTTCGGGAGAAGCTGAGATGATGAAGAAAACGATTGAGGAGTGTGAAGCGAAAAGAGTCGGTGGTGAGGAGAAGTATTGTGCTACGTCTTTGGAGTCGATGGTCGACTTTAGTGTTTCTAAACTTGGCAAAGATCACGTCCGTGCTGTCTCCACTGAGGTACCAAAAAACAGAACCATAAACTAATACAATAGTCAATAAGAAATACCCTTCGATTGCAATAAATTTGTTTAAAAATAGCACATACAAAAAATTACAAAACTAGCATCAATTAAAATTTAAAAATACATTTTCTTAATTTGAGTTTTGAGTCTAAATAAGATTTTAGGTTTTAGTATTTAGAGTGAGAAATTAAAATTTATGTTTTAGGATGCAAGGTAATTTAGTGTTTTTATTGATTAATAAATGATATTTTGAGAATAAAAAAAGTGTTATTTGTGAGATTTGCGTCTAAACTAATCTCCTTTACCAATTTTGGATTAGGCTTAAATTTTGACCTAAATTTTAAACTGAATAAATATTTGCAACCATGTTTGGTTATGCTAGATTCTTGTTGTAGGTTTTCGATTATATTTTATTTATCTTTGGTTTAGATTCGGTTCAAATTCAGCTAACAAATAAATAAACATATAACACCTTTGTACTCAAATTGGTTGAAATTGGAGGTTAGCTTCAGGTTTTTGGTTTTAAGATAACAGAAGACATTTAAAAATATATAAAAAAGATAACAAAAGACACTTAAGTTTGGTTTGATATACATCAACGCCTAATGTGTTATGTCTAATATTCTGGTTGGTCGATGTAACCTTTTTTCCCACAGGTTGCTGAGAAGAATGCACCGATGCAAAAGTACACAATCGCAGCTGCTGGAGTAAAGAAGTTGTCAGACGACAAGTCAGTGGTGTGTCACAAACAGAAGTACCCATTCGCTGTCTTCTACTGTCACAAGGCGATGATGACTAGCGTTTACGCGGTCCCCCTAGAAGGAGAGAACGGTTTGCGCGCTAAAGCGGTTGCTGTATGCCACAAGAACACCTCAGCCTGGAACCCAAACCACTTGGCCTTCAAAGTCCTTAAGGTGAAGCCCGGGAGCGTTCCGGTCTGCCATTTCCTCCCTGAGACCCATGTTGTTTGGTTCAGTTACTAGATATGCTTTCTATAATAAGTAATAATGTATAAGAAGATCTATATTCTGGGATGTTTTGTATGTATACATATATAGTAATGTGTGGTTTCGATATGATCAATGCCCGAAGGCATCTATATGTTTTGCTTTACGGAGTCTTCTATATGACCTACTTGCTTCTTGTTGTTTTGCAAGAGTATATTAAACTAATAAAGTGGGTGGTGGTCTAGTGATACTAGTTTCCAAAACCACTGATTCAAAATAGTAATTTACGTTTTAAATATAACAATATCAATAGTAAAATTTTTAACATGGAACAAAAGTCTGAATTTGTATCTCAGTTGACGATGATAGTAGACTCGACTACTCGGACTTCTATGTTAAGTTGATCAAAACAATGTGGGCACAAACTGTGTTAAGTTTGTTTGGAGTTACGTAGTGTTACTGATAACTGATAAGATCTATCACCAAAAAGTAGGACACTGAATGTCGTTCTGGCTTGGTTTTGATGTTCCTTCAATCTTCTCTATTGATATAATAATGTCACTCATTCTTTTGTCATTATGTTATCTGTTTCATACCAACTCAATGCATTTTCTGTGGTCGCGAATCTTTTTACCTCTGTCTCTATAAGAGATAAACCGAGGAAAATAAGAGGTTGCATAGCTTCAGCCCATATATTATTGTGTTCTAGTGTAAGTAAAAAAAGCCCACTGGAGAAGCTATGTCTTCTTTTTTTTTATCAAAGCAAATGTGGAGAAGCTATGTCTATCGTCTAATCTAATTATATAAAGTAAAGTTCTCATCCCTCATGTGATGCCAGCTCAACAAATCGAACTCTCCCGTTCTGCCACGTGTCCCTAGCCGCAATACTCACCGTTTCAATTAAGACGTGTTGGGCTTATTTCGTTATACAAAACAATTCTACGTTTTGTTGATGGGCTACGGTTCATCTCTCTATGTTACACAATACAATACAGTCTAATAGCCCAATTTAGTGTGTCCTAATTGTGTTGACCCGAGGTAATAAAGCTTTAGGGTTGTCTCTCTCCTTTGCTCTATTGCGACTTCTGATCTTCTTCCCTATCGATGAAACGGTGGCTTCTTCGTGATCAATCCTATTAATTCAATCAACCACAATGAAGTCTTCAATGCGTGGATTACATCTCGAAGTCGGTGTAATTTGCGAGTATAAATAAGTCAGTAATCCTCCGCTTGAAATCATATTCTCTTCGTATCTCTTTTAGTACACTGATTCTCTTTCTCAGTGTCGATTTCGTTAATTTTGCTAAGATTTTAATGTTTAAGTTGTTGTGATTTCTCACTGAAACTGAAAGTAATTATTATAGATCTTTGATAAGTAATCCAGGACTCGAGGGGTTTTCGATGGAATCTATTTTGTCTGCATTTATATACTTCGTCTCTTTCGTCTGAGATTGTCTCACGGGTTACTTTTTCTTTGTTCAGTCAACTCTGATCCAGGAGTCAATCAGCGTGAAAGCAGAGACCTTATTGTTGATGGCCAGCCAGTTCTTAATTCCTTGACAGTGTCAGAACTTATATAATTAGATGTCATTTTGTTTCAAACAAATTTTTCTTTTATGATATGTCATTTACTTACTACGCTTCCGTTTATATAAGCAGCACTCAAATCAATTTTACAGAAAATGTTCAATAATAAAATAACTGTAAACCAAACGAATATGTGTGCAACATGATTTAAGAACATGACTAAGTTTAAATAAGTTGATCTTTAATTTTTATCAACCTTATCAATTAGCACATGTAGAATGTGGTTTGGGATGTAGTTCCAAAATCATAATGTGCCTCAGGGAATAAAAGAAATTCCATTTAAATACAACTGTAAAGCAAAATGGTTAACTATAAAATAACTTAAAAGTATACGACCGATCTTGAAAATATGTCAACGTTTCAATTAACTGAAATCGAAGGCATATAGATCTACCACTACCAGCATCACCGTTAAGCTTCGCCCATCATCGCTGCCGGAGAATCCATATGCCATTTTTGATTCTCTCTCCAAAGAACATAAACAGAAAGAAATATCTTTTTGTGACAGAGAGGTTGGATACTCTGAAGAAAAGTAGAAGAGGTAAAAACGTAGTCGTTTTCTTATGTCACTTAAGATTACAGTGATGAAAATATAGAAAAAGAGCAAATGGCTTTCAGATATTTAAGTTATACATTTTTACGCTTAAAGAAACAAATTGTATGTTGTTGAGACTTGAAACCTCTCACACACCTACATATGCATCGTTTTGACCGAAAATGGTTTTTTTCTCTCATAGCAGGTACCACCGTCTTCGTCTTCTTATTGAATGTTTGCTCTCTGCTCTGACATGTCATTTACGAAAACAGGCGACTATTCTGTGATTAAGACACATGTATATTGATCGTGGTTATGTGTCGTTGGGTTTGTGATCAATATCTTTTATGTTATAACTTTTTGTGCTAAACTGAGTTTAGTTTCATTCCAAAATTTTTGAATATTTGTGGCTTATGGATATATCCTCCATTTCCGTTTTTACTTTTTTTTTTTGGCTTATGGGTAATTAGCACTATTACCGACTAATCTCGCTGACTATTCACCACGTGTCAACTATTTTTTCATTTACGTAAGAACCAGAATATTAATGTTAACCGATACTAATAGCTTAATAAGACTTTAAAGATTATACTGTATAGGTGTACAAAAAAAAAATTATACTATATTATGATTTTAAGTACAACAAGAATATTATTAAATAAAAATATTTAGATGCAGTGATAGTATATAGTAAATTGTTAATATATAATAAATAAATTACATTTAACGAGCTCATTGTTAAAGGTTATTTACTAAAAACTGATATCATATATTATTCTATAAAAGTCTATAAAAATTCAAACAATCATACATCTTTCTAACCAGAAACATTTCATATTAGTTTTTCGTTGCATACCTAATTTAAATATATTTTTGTTAAAATGAATCAGCTATTCATTTTAGGATCATACAAATCAGGATTTTTATAAAAGTTGAGGAAATAAATATTACAAAAAGAATGATCTATTTTTTAAAAATGTACAGAATAAAAGAAATATTCAAGAAATAAATATTACAAAAAGAATGATCTATGTTTTCTATTAAATTCCTTTGATTAGGGTTTTAAAAATTACATTCTACTCACTTTCAAAATCAAATTAAAACAAATATAAGGAATAAAATAAAATAATTAACTTTTCATAAATTTATTTAATAGTGAAATAAATATGTAACTTACAAAAACAATAATAAAACAAAAAATGAAAGTAGTTATAGAAAAAAATCAAAATTTAATGTAACATATAATTGAGAGTAAATTAAACATTTACAAAAACTATTATGGTAAAATCTCTCTCTCTCTCCGAGTTGAAACACGTTAGCGCCAAATCACAAAGTCGATTTATGTAAACGTGACACGTTTCCCAATAGAATAAACTCACTGTTTCATTTACCCTAAAATTGAATAGATTTTATTTGGATCTAGACAGAACTTAACACTGTCTGACAAAAAAAAAGTTGGAAGTCCTTCTTCGACGCCACTCGGAACTCCACCTCCTCAAGGGTCTTAGATACCACATGCAACCACTTACTCCAACGGCGAAGAGAAGCGACAGACCGCAGAAAAGAAAATTTCCAGGAACCGCCATCCTAAAGAAGTAGATCCGTCGAAATCATCACCATATACATCAATCGAACAAGCTTCCGCCTCGATGACTAACACGCAGTCTCTGGTAAGCCTCTCTGTCGTCCTCTAAACATACAACACCTCTCATTGACTGACGAGCCATTAGAGCTTGAATCTCTCCTAGGAAATCTCCACTCCAAAGCTCCACTATTAGAAAAACTCAACATACTTTTGATGCCGGAAGGAGTTATAATACTGGCGGTGGGAGAGGAATGCCAACAGTGGTGGCCAGAAGAAATGAAGGTGCTCACTTGCTAATATGGTGACAGTAAACATCGTCGGTGGCGATGTATAAATCAGTTGTCCATGTTTGTCAAATCTGAGAAGGAAAAAAATTAAGTTAAACGATAGAAAAAAGGAAAGATAAGAAAATGAGTCTGTAGGAAAGAAAAGAAGGCAAAGATCTCATAAGTTAATACAATTATCGGTTTTAAAAGAAAAGGATTTATGACCAATGAAGAAAAATAAACAAAAAAAAAAATATAAAAAGAACTAAGTAAATATCGAAGTGTAAGGAAAGATTTGAAACAATTAAGAAAATATCAGAAAAACTAAAAAAAAAAAATTGCAGGAGAAGAGTCAAATAGGAAGCAAAGAAGAAGATAAAACAAATTAAGAAAGAAGATCAATTGATGAATATATCTATCATTTGTTTTCCTAAAATCTATCATAAAATTACTTTATGACAATTATTTAATAGAACTAATACATTTTTATAATTTTTTATTAAATTAATTATTCAATGAAAACAGACTACACGTCGTCTTGCACCTGTGAAAAGACACGTTGTTTTCTTTATCAAGGGATTGTTGAACCTATACAAGTAGCATTGAATATTGTTTCGGTGACCAAAAAAAATCGTAACTAACATATACAATTTTTTTTTAATTAACACATACAAATGGTTATTAATTTTTTTTAATGAATTAATAGCATAACACATAATATATCTTCTTATCCTTATAAAATTTATAATCCATAGATTTGAGATCTATAATTTTTTTAATTTTTTCATTATGTTTTTATTAAGTTAAAATAATGAAAAATTAATTTTATAATCTGTATTTCAAAAAGAAATAAAAACGTTTTTTCAAATAAGATTAATAGCATAATCTCGAAAAGCTAGCCAGCAACCTAACGAATTATTGGAAACACTAAAAAATTTAGACAATAAACGGAGATAGATTATTTATACTATTTATGTACAATAATTAATATATATGTATAACAAATTGTTGTATGTATATTTTTTTATAAGCATTACTGGTATTTAAATTTATAAATAAATACTAAATTACATAACATATATAAAATAGTTTGGTTTGGATTTGAAATTAATGATTGGTTGGACTTCAACAAAATTGGATATCATAATTGATTTGTACTTAGGCCAAAATAGATATCATCACTGAAGATTAAGAAAGTAATTGTTAGCATTATGCATTATAAATCAGATGATTGTTTTTTTCTTTCCAATTCTAGGCATGCCATTCCATAGAATACAATCAAATCAGTTTAATTTGCCGTGATCATCCACCATTTCATGTTTAATCAGTTAACTATTGCACGACTGATTTTTTTTAACCAAAGCATTTTATGCTCTACAATGAAAATAATAATTTCAAACAACCGAGAAATATATCAAAATAAATTGAAATAAATATCCAATTATAAAGAACCAAACTAAAATAAACCCAAAAATATAACAAACTCATCAAACTGAAGATGGTACACAAATAATGCCATAAATATAGGATTAAATTGTTTTAAAAGGAAACATGCCCTCACAACATATCAATGTTACAACTTTTTCATATAGAAATAATTGTTGTAAACAAGCAAAATATATCTTATTACATATAATCCCTAAAACATGCAATCCTAAAACCTTCCAAAATACAAAAATCGTTATTATACGCATCTCTTTCATACCCTAAAACATAAACCACAAAATCATACAAATAATAATAACATAGATCATAAGTAAAATATAGGGCGGGCCGACCCTAGTAATTAATAAAAGCAAATGTGTGTGCATTGTACATGAGAGAAGGAGAACAATCACGAGGTTTTGATAGCTACGACAATTTAGTTGTCACACAAAGAACACGATATACTGCCGTGTCCATCCAACCCCAACCAACTTTAAAACAGTAAACTCATTTTCTCCAATACAATTTGCGATTAAAAAAAACCCAAAACAGATCAACTCCTAGCTGTTTAGGCACATCTGTTCATACTAACCAAACTCTTGAAGCTCAATTTTTTAAAAGGAAACAAAAAAAAATTTGATCTAAAGAAAAGAAAAGAAAAGAAAGCAAACCAAAACGAAAACCTTTTATATTAGTGTTTTGATTTGAATGGATACAAAGCGTTACGGTGTTGTAAAAGGTGTGCAAACAAAACGACGCCGTAGTGCATTGAGATATGTGACCGACCGTTAGGTCAGCCTATTTTGTATTTTCTTTTTAAAAATACGAATATTTCAGACACGACACCACATACAGTACAGTGATAAACCCAGTAACAAAAACCAAAAATATATCTCCACTCGCGGTGGCGCGTGGTCATTATCACTTACATCTCTCTCTCTCTCTGTGCATCTTTGTCCATCACTTCTCACTAGTACTCTCTCTCTCTCTCTCTCTTGTTACATTACAATGGGGTGTGCGCAATCTAGGGTTGATAACGAAGAAGCGGTAGCGAGATGCAAGGAGCGTCGCAACGTCATCAAGGAAGCCGTTACGGCGAGCAAGGCATTCGCGGCGGGGCATTTCGCCTACGCCATTGCTTTAAAGAACACCGGAGCCGCTCTCAGCGACTACGGCCATGGAGAATCCGACCAAACCTTAGATGACGATGTTGTCGTCTTGGACCAAAGCCATTTCGAGAAACAGAGTGATGATCCCATCGCTACTCCTCAGCCTCCTCCTCCTCCGCCTATAGAGAATCTCCCTCCTCCGCCTCCTCCTCTCCCCAAGTTCTCTCCTTCTCCGATTAAACGCGCTATTAGCTTGCCGACGATGGCTGTTAGAGGAAGGAAGGTTAAGGGTGGTGGTGTTGATGGTATGGCGATTGAGGAGGAAGATGAAGAGGAGGAGGAGGAAGAGGAGGAGGAGGTGAAGGAAGAAGAGGAGGATTCGCCGAGGACGCCGGAGAATGTTGGGAAAGGGAGGAAGAGACAGGAGACGCCGGAGATTGTGAGTGCTTCTCCTGGGGCTTGGGATTACTTTTTCATGGTTGAGAATGTGCCTGTCCCTGTGCCTATGCCTAACTTAGAAGATAGGTATCAGTTCAGTGAAGAGCAAGAAGAAGAAGAAGAAGAAGATGAGCCAAAGACGCCGGTGAATGTTGAAGAGGAAGAGGAGGATGTAGTAGTGGAAGAGGCAGAGGAGGAGAAGAAGAAAGGGAAAGCTAAGATTGAGCATTCCAACACTGCTCNGAGAATGTGCCTGTCCCTGTGCCTATGCCTAACTTAGAAGATAGGTATCAGTTCAGTGAAGAGCAAGAAGAAGAAGAAGAAGAAGATGAGCCAAAGACGCCGGTGAATGTTGAAGAGGAAGAGGAGGATGTAGTAGTGGAAGAGGCAGAGGAGGAGAAGAAGAAAGGGAAAGCTAAGATTGAGCATTCCAACACTGCTCCACCGGAGTTCCGGCGTGCGGTGGCAAAGACCACCACCACGGCATCGAGTGTGAATCTGAAGAAGATTCTTGATGAGATTGATGATAGGTTCTTGAAAGCGTCAGAGTGTGCACAGGAGGTCTCTAAGATGCTTGAAGCAACAAGGTTGCATTACCACTCCAACTTTGCAGATAACAGAGGTATTAAAAAGTCCCTTTTCTTAGAAACTTTCTGAAATCTTATTGCATACCAAGACAACAACTTTAATGGTACTAGTTAAGTTTATTCCAATCTAAGACAAAATTTTAGTTACTGTGGTTCATAATGTATCCATGGTTTAGAAAGATTGGTTCTTTGTTACTAGAAAAAGAGAACCAAAAAGTCTGAGAAAGAAAGAGTTTTCTTTTTCTTTTATTTTGTAGATCCGATCATAGTTTAGTGTCTGCAATATTATTCCTTTTTATGTTATGACTCTCTGTTGCACTTTTTTTTGTTGGTCTGTCTACTTTGACATTTGCCACTAGCTTTTGTGAGAATCTAATAATGAACCTTAAATTAATAGATCTGGTGGTTTTCTTAATTGTTTTTTATTCACGTGTAAAGCCATTATACAAAGCTTTAGGTTTGACTAATCAAACATTATATGTCCCTATCAAAGAGTGTTGTTTCTTCTTTGACAAAGATTCCCCTTTTCAGGATATGTCGATCATTCCGCAAGGGTAATGCGAGTCATAACTTGGAACAAATCATTAAGAGGCATTTCAAACGGTGAAGGTGGGAAAGAAGATCAAGAATCAGATGAGCATGAGACACATGCCACGGTGTTAGACAAACTGTTAGCATGGGAGAAGAAACTCTATGATGAAGTCAAGGTAAAAAAAGCTTGATCATTGTCTCTACCTGAACGTGTTGAAGGATGTGTAAGTTGAATGCTTTTTCTTGGTGGTGTTTGTTTTTATCTCTATAGCAAGGTGAGCTTATGAAGATAGAGTACCAGAAGAAAGTAGCTTTACTCAACAGACATAAGAAACGAGGTGCTAGTGCAGAAACCGTGGAGAAAACAAAGGCTGCAGTGAGTCATTTACACACTAGATACATCGTTGACATGCAATCCATGGATTCAACCGTCTCTGAAGTAAACCGTTTAAGAGATGACCAGTTGTATCCAAGACTTGTCTCCTTAGTTGAAGGGTATGTATGTTCTCTCATTTCCCCTTCAAATGCATTTTTTTTTCTAACTAATTTTTCTGAAACGTGTAGGATGGCGAAGATGTGGTCAAACATGTGTATACAACATGACACACAACTAAAGATCGTTGGAGAGTTAAAGTCTCTAGAGATCTCAACTTCTCAGAAAGAAACAACAAAGCAGCATCACAACCAGACACGGCAGTTCTGCACGGTCTTGGAAGAATGGCATGTTCAGTTCGAGAGGCTCGTGACACACCAGAAGCTATACATAAACTCTCTAAACACATGGTTGAAGCTAAACCTTATCCCTATAGAGAGCAGTCTCAAAGAGAAAGTTTCCTCTCCTCCAAGGCCTCAGCGTCCACCAATCCAAGCTCTCCTCCACTCGTGGCACGACGGTCTCGAGAAGCTACCCGACGAGGTGGCCAAATCAGCCATCTCGTCGTTCGCGGCGGTTATAAGAACGATCTTGCTTCACCAGGAGGAAGAGATGAAGCTGAAGGAGAGATGGGAGGAGACGAGGAGGGAGTTTATAAGGAAGAAGCAAGGGTTTGAGGAATGGTATCAGAAGCATTTGCAGAAAAGAGGGCCAGTGGAGGAAGGTGGGGAAGAGGGAAGCAGTAGAGATGATGATCATGTGACAGAGAGGAGGATTGTTGTGGAGAGTTTGAAGAAAAGGCTTGAAGATGAAGAGGAAGCTTATCAGAGACATTGTGTTCAGGTGAGGGAGAAGTCTCTGAATAGTTTGAAGATCAGATTGCCTGAGATCTTCAGGGCGTTGTCTGATTATGCTCACGCTTGTGCTGACTCTTACGAGAAGCTCAGAATCATATCTCAGGCTCAGAAAGCCAATGTGTCTTCTTGAACCAGTTAAAGAATAAGAACAGGAGGTCACTCACTGTCTTTATCTGTGCTTTATGTATTAAAAGAACTCGTGTTTGAATAGTTTTGTAGAAGTTTTTTAACTTTTTTAAAAAAAGGACCTTGTATTGTCTTGTTGAAAAGTGAAAACCGTATGTCTGATTCATTTTGGTGAAAGCCTTAAAAGGTTAAATAAAAGAAACTAGTGTCAGAAGTGGGATTTGAACCCACGCCCTCTCACGAGGACCAGAACTTGAGTCTGGCGCCTTAGACCACTCGGCCACCCTGACTGTTGTGATAAAGTTTGAACTACGAAACATACCCAGTGAAACGTAAATACAGTAAGATTCCCGAAATACAAATCTAAAATATTTACAAAGAAGACAACTGAAGAAACAAATACAAAGAAACTTAGCTTAGCATTTTGAAGGAAATAATGGACCATGATTATCCTATATAGGAGATGGTGAATAAGTAAAGATCTACATTGTTGGGAATTGTAAGTACAGCAGCATACATAGAACAAAACGAAAAACTATCCTGATTCTTAACCTCCACCAGCATCCAAAAAGAGACAAAACGATAACTGGTTCTTTTACCATTTCTTCCACAACATGGACGGTTTATTAAACTAGCAGAGAGCTGAGTTCCTCGTTACTCTTTGTCTCAGCCTGTTTTTGGCACCAAACTCGATCATTCCCTCTGAGTCTTCCTTGCTTTTCTCCATCTCTTTTACACCACCATTGTCGCTTTCAGGTGCTTCTTCCTCGTCATACTCGTCTGCATAATAAAATATGCAAAACGAATAAGCCACGGTTTACGGGTAAATATCAAATAAGAGGAAGCAGCACAAGTAGATATATGACTTTACCAAAGGTGTAAGTGGCAGGCTTGCGGTTACGACATGAACGGGTTAAGCGTAGAGGACGCGAGATATTGACACTAACAACCTTCTCTTGCTTCATTTTCCTTTTGATTGCCCTTTCTTTCTTCTGTTATTTCAAAAGGAATTAAAAAAAAACATGATGTGCATAAGCGTAAAGAGCAAACTTGAGGGATGTAGCTAATAGTGGAGAAAGTACTTTATGATATTTCTCAACAACGGGTATAGCATCTGTCTCAATCATCGTGCCGATAGCAGCCAAAGAAAAAGCTTTGTTTGATGATAACTCTCTCTGCAATGACAGCATATCAGTATCATTAAAAAAAAGGAAATAAAACAATTTCACAAATCTTTAAGACTAGATAAGCGGAAACAAAAATTGAAAAAGCTTACAGCAACTCTTTGAAATTCATCTAGATTGGTTGCTTCAGTTTCCCAGCAGAAACAAGATGTATCTGAGCACACATTCTTCCTTGCTTTATCGCTTTTTGAGGTTTCATTAACTTCCTTATACAATCTGTACCCTAGGATGTCATTCCCATCAAACCTGGAACAGAAAAAAATACATGAAAGTTAATCACGCCAACCAAATGTAAAAATATTGAAAGAAGTAAACAGTACATGTAACTACCAGTAAGAAGTCTTATTTCCATCTCCTCCTAACTTCCTTTTGCTGAAACATGGATTCAGGCTTCCTTCATTGGTATTCTCTTGAATATACTTACGAGCATCATCTTGCTATACCATCCACCAATGGAAACACACAAACAGGAAAAAAAATTAAAATTAATATATTTAACCAAACCAAAGAGGCACGGATTGATAATATATACTTTAAAAAACTTAATGATAAGAATAGATTACTTGGGCACGAAGCTCACAAAGTGCTTTCAGAAACTGCAGGCGATCAGTAGGGTCAAGTCCTTTGTATCCAGATATTTCCGCCCTAACATAAAGGAGAGAAAAAAAAGTTGTTACCAACACCATCACAACATTACAACCTGAACAAATACATAATGCACAAGATTAACATCATTTAAACAATACCCTTTGTAAGCGGTTAAAGGAATTTCACCCTTAGCAATCTGAAATAATAGCATCACATGAGTCAAATAAGGAAAATCATAACAGATTTAAATATACAAAAAAAGGTTCAGAGTGGGCCTCACCAATGGCCACCATGGATCAAGTTTCTTACACAAGACAGTGATCCACGCATCTCCCTCCTCGAGCGATTTACTCAACGGTAGTATGCCCTGTGTAAAATCAGTTCCAGAAGGGTGTTGCTAATAGAAATAAACAAACTTGTGTGCATGATTTACAAATAATCCATTGACAGTAGCAAATAACTCAAAGTGTAATGTGTTGAAAGCTCTCAATAATAGATAAAGTCGAGACCTTTAGAAGTGCAATGTGAAGCTGAGCATTTGTAGCGTTGGAATCGACAAGACCCATCTCAATTTCTTCAGCTGTTACCTTCAATTTTTCCGAGACAAGTGGTCCAAAGACCTGTCACAGCAACATCACAAATCACATGACCACTAACAAGCAGCGAAATCTCTCACACACAAAAAAAACCCTATAATCTAAACACGTAAAAGAGATTATTCATACATTGAAGAAGTTGAGAACGGAAGCAAGTTCCCAACGTCCACGCAAGTGCTTCACTGCTGCATCGGTGGGGGAATCTTCGTCGTCCGAGAGAATCGTCAAGTCCTCGACGCGGTTTTCCAACACCGGTTCGGGTTCTGTGGTCGCGACCGTTGGTCTCTCGCGGAGAGTCACCATATTCGGAGAATGAGAGAGAGAGAAGATGAAAGGGCTCTGTGGGGAGTGGGAATATTAAAATGGAGAATTTTAGGAGAGAATTCTCCCGCCACTGGAGGGATGCTTCTCCGATTTTACTATTTTACCCCCAGTGCCCACCCCATCCTAGGGTTAATTTTGTTTCCCCTTTTGGTTATTTCTTGTATTTTCTAATTCCTAATTAATTCCTTATTTTTTGACCAAAAAAAAAATTAATTCCTTATTTTAAAAACTTTAGTATTCCTTTTGAATACAGCTGTACAATTTCCTATTTTCCCTAGTCTTCAACCGTACATAGTTTGATTCCTTATAATCCACCACAAGTAATATACTAACCGAATGGTCAAACATCTTTGGTCATTGTACATTTGTTAAATTATATACCACATGTTGAGCAACCCCTTGTACATTTGTTCGTTGTTCTTATTATTCATCTTTCAATTCAATCAGAATATACATAACCATAAGGTGTGTAACTGTAGAGTCATCCACTTGTAATTCATTCACCACTCAGTGCTAAAAGTTCGTCAAATCTAAATACAAAAACAAACCATTGAATATTTTTGGGATATTTTATAATATTTCTTTACCTGATAATAGTTTTTTCCTTTCTCTAGAGTCATGCATTGCTTGCTAGTTGCTACAAAAGAAATGATGAAAAACTGAATTTAGCAGAGTTCCATGAGGAAGATAAAGAGAAGTTAAAATTTTGAGAGAGTACCGCATCTAGTATTCTAGCCTCGGTTGCTTAACATGTCAAGGATAGTGTAAGCAGCTTTCTGAAACTGTTCTTTCTCTTCCTCCAGAACTCTTTTCTTCTCCATTGCATAATCCTTCGATTTCTCAATCTCTTCCTTTATTCCAACAGAGCTTTGATCTATCTCACTGCATGAATTTTTTTTCCAACCAAGAGCGAAAAAAGAGGCACTGGATCAGCAACACTCTAGCAGTATCCATTAGCTGTGGTAGATAGATAGAGAAAACACTTACTTGACCAACTTGAGCATGTTCTCCATCCCCATCTGAACTTGCTGTGACATATCTGCAAAATTGCAACGTATCAGGTGACCATTGATTGCTAGAAAGTTGAGCAACAGAATCTATACACATTGTTCGAAGAGAAATATAGAGACAAAAATGACTTGTAATCTCAAATCCACCAACTGATCTAATCCATGAATCATGTAAATGACTCGTAAACTTGTATCTGCTCATTGCTATTTGCAGAAAGCTAAAGGGATAAAAGAAACAGTTAAATCTGTAATGGTGCACAACAAACCTATACGCATTGTTCAAAACGAAACGGAGAAATGATTAACTTGTAATCTCAATCCCAACACTGATCTAACTCTAATCCGTGAACAAATAACAGTGACTCAGACGATAATCAGTATCTATTGAGAAACTATCACCTACACTACCAGTTATTTTTCAACTCGATTCAACAGGTGGATGATTAGCACAAGCAGAAACGCGAAATCAAGTTTAGGTCAAGCGATTAGGCGAATAAGTATGCACAGAATCGTTCATATACCAAATCGAAGCACATTTGATGTCACGGTTTTCACAAATAACCATGGAAGTTTTATGATTAACGAGTATGACAACGGATCTCTCGCTGATTCCTAATTCTTCGCGATTTTCTTATGAATGAAAGGGATAACCGGAGAAAATAGAACACAAACCGAATACGAGAGACGCGAGATCCGATTCAGCTTGCTGGCCAGTAGTTTGATTAGTAACGAGCTCCGCACCATTCTGCACCGGTGATTCCGCCATTATCGCTGTGTGAGCCAGAGTTCGAAAACGAGTGAATGTATTTTGTGAGCGAACAGATTTGTTTGTTTGAAGACGAGTGTCAGTGTTGTGGGCTTGGCCCATTTAGAGTCTCCGAGGCTAACTAATACACGTAGACACGTATCAACTCTTTTTCTGAATCGATTCAAGTGTTATTAACATGGTTTTAAAATCGGTAACTCGATCTAACGAAAACGATTTTATTTAAGAAAATATTACATCTAGGAGCAGTTTTCAAGTTATTAATATCATAATGGGACACTTCACACTACAAGGACACTTTTTTCTAACTCTTGATTTTTGACCCCAATTAGTTTAGTTACAGCCTAACTATATCGTTGTTTAAGAAAAACAGAAGGGAGTGTTTAGTAGCGGGAATAATTCTTGGCCACACATCTCACCCCCCCCCCCATCAATGGTCCAGAATTAAGCAGTACAATAGGACAAGACTAATATCTGCCACTCCTTTCACACCGTTGGATCTCACCTCTACTTTTTTTCTCGACGGTCCGGATTGTCCAAAAAACTTCATCCTCATCCTCTCTGGTTTTCACATCGACACACCTCCAAACTGAAGAGATTAACGTTGTTAGTCTAATAATCTTGCTAATCCTAAGATCAACAATACATTCATCATCTCCCTTTATTCCAGGTTAGTTCTATCTCAAGACTACATTACATCAATTTACTAAATTCTCCTTTTTTTTACAACGAACTTAACATCTGCGTTTTTGTTCCACGAGCTCAGCCATGGAAGATCATTGTATGGTCATTCCAGGCAAATGGAACTCCCGTGATTCTCTGCGGAAGTTTGCTATAGATCAAAAGAAATGTCAAGGATTGTCCCTGTTCGCCCGGGAATGTTGTTGCTTGACTTAAAAAACAATGTCGTCAAGGAGTTCTTCACCTTCACAGACCCACCACCACCAGTCGTTTTGAGCTATTGGCCACCTAACACCAAAGAACTTGCTACTGGTCTCACAACACCACCTGTGATTCTCTCTAACGACGGAGCTGTCACGTTCTTTTTCCATCATTTTGCAGCCCACCAATCCATGAATTTGTTTGTTACCTTCGAGACGATAGGAGACAGACAGCAAACAAGTCAACTCGACGAGAACCCTTTGCCATTCACAACAAATTCTTTGCCATTCACAACCTTGATAACATGTACACCACCTCGCATCCACGTGTAAACTCTTGACCCACAAACTCTTGTTGGTGTACACCATCCAAACCTACTCCCTCAGCATATTAATTGTAACACTGTACACTCTCAAGCTGCACACCATCACACACTAACAGGATATCTCACCAGGCGCATGAACCCATATTGTACATTTAACAAAATACCGCTACCAATGTTAGTGGTTCCCCCTTGTCAATCGTGTACACATCCTCCCATCCATGGTTTCACCATCAAACTTCCCTGTGTCCACCACCGACTAATGTACAATACTCGCTATATAGAGAGTGTACACTGTTGTACAGAGTGTACACTACTCTTGTACTCACAACTGGTCAATATGTAGACTACTAACGAGAGTGTACACCACTCTTCCATAGAAGCCCTTAATTTAATGTACACCACCTCGCATCCACATGTACACTGTTGTCTAGAGTGTACACTGAGACATGAACACAACTGTCTACACCACCGACCAATATCCATGTATACACCAAAATCCTTTTCATAAGTAAGGGGACTTTCTCACGTTGGTAGTGTTCATTTGCAATTATGTACACTCTCCCTCGTTGTCTAAATTAAAATTATGTACACTCCCCTCCCACATTTGAAGATAGAGCTTCAGTAGCACTCCAAACCATCCGGTGGTGTACACTTTAATTGGGGTACACCAGCAAAACCTACTCCCTGAGCATATTAATTGTAACAGTGTACACTTAACAAAATACCGCATGCAATATTTCACATACCCCCTTGGAAATCGTGTACACATCCTCCCATCCATGGTTTCACCACCCACTAATGTACACTACCAATCTTACACACTCCCTTCTACACTACTGTCAAGAGTGTACAATACTTATCGACGTACACTACCCTCAATGTCAAGAGTGTACACCATTGTGTATAGTGTACACTACTCTTGTACACACAACTGGTCAATATGTAAACATGTTTAATAGTCCACCAACATACAGTAACATGATACCATTTTGCACACTCCCCGCCTTGTCAATTGTGTATACATCCTCCCATCCATGTCTTCACCATCAAACTTTCCAGTTTACACCGCCGACTGAGGTACACTTCGAATCTTGCACACTCCCTTTTACACTAGTGTCAAGAGTTTGTTGTTCAAGTGTGTACACTAAGTATCGGCAAGCCTTGATAACTTTACTGTTTCAACCACAGATGAAGTTAACGTGTTCACAATTAAAGTGTACACCACTCATACACGTACAATACCAGTCAACAAACCACCTGATGGTGTACACTTTAATTGGTGTACACCATCCAAACCTACTCCCTAAGCATATTAATTGTAACACTGTACACTCTCAAGCTGCACACCATCACACACTAACATGATATCTCACCAGACGCATGAATCCATATTGTACATTTAACCAAATACCGCTACCAATGTCAGTTGTCCCCCCTTGTCAATCGTGTACACATCCTCCCATCCATGGTTTCACCATCAAACTTTCATGTGTCCACCACCGACTAATGTACAATACTCGCTATATCAAGAGTGTACACTGTTGTACAGAGTGTACACTACTCTTGTACTCAATTATGGTCAATATGTAGACTACTAACGAGAGTGTACACCACTCTACAGTGTACACTGAGGAATGAACACAAGTGTCAGCCCTTAATTTAATGTACACCACCTTGCATCCACGTGTACACTGTCGTCTACAGTGTACACTGAGGAATGAACACAAGTGTCTGCACCACCGACCAATATCCACCAACGTCAAGAGTGCACACTGATGTCTTAAGTGTACACTACTCTTGCACACTCCTGTCAAGAGTGTACACTACGTATCGACGGACACTACCCTCAACCTCAAGAGTGTACACTACTGTCAAGAGTGTACACTACGTATCGACATACACTATCCTCAATGTCAAGAGTGTACACTGTTGTACCGAGTGTACACTACTCTTGTACTCACAACTGGTCAATATGTAGACTACTAACGAGAGTGTATACCACTTTGCTACAGAAGCCCTTAGTTTAATGTACACCACCTTGCATCCACGTGTACACTGTCGTCTACAGTGTACACTTACAAATGAACGCAAGTGTCTGCACCACCGACCAATATCCACCAACGTCAAGAGTGTACACTGATGTCAAGAGTGTACACTACTCTTGCACACTCCTGTCAAGAGTGTACACTACGTATCGACGGAAACTACCCTCAACCTCCAGAGTGTACACTACCGTCAAGAGTGTACACTACGTATCGACGTACACTATCCTCAATGTCAAGAGTGTACACTATTGTCAAGAGTGTAAACTACTCTTGTACACACAATTGGTCAATATGTAAACAACATGTCTAACAGTCTACCAACATACACTAACATGATACCATTTTCCACACCCCCCCCCCCGCCTTGTCAATTGTGTATACATCCTCCCATCCATGTCTTCACCATCAAACTTACCAGTTTACACCGCCGACTGATGTACACTTCTAATCTTGCACACTCCCTTTTACACTAGTGTCAAGAGTTTGTTGGTCAAGAGTGTACACTACGTATCGGCAAACCTTGATAACATGTACACCACCTCGCATCCACGTGTAAACTCTTAACCAACAAACTCTTGTTGGTGTACACCATCCAAACCTACTCCCTCAGCATATTAATTGTAACACTGTTCACTCTCAAGCTGCACACCATCACACACTAATAGGATATCTCACCAGACGCATGAATCCATATTGTACATTTAACAAAATACCGCTACCAATGTTAGTGGTTCCCCCCTGTCAATCGTGTACACATCCTCCCATCCCTTGTTTCACCATCAAACTCCCCTGTGTCCACCACCGACTAATGTACAATACTCGCTATATCAAGAGTGTACACTGTTGTACAGAGTGTACACTACTCTTGTACTCCCTACTGGTCAATACCTTGATAACTTTACTGTTTCGACCACAGATGAAGTTAACGTGTACACAATTAAAGTGTACACCACTCATACACGTACAATACCAGTCAACAAACCATCCGATGGTGTACACGTTAATTGGTGTACACCATCCAAACCTACTCCCTAAGCATATTAATTGTAACACTGTACAGTCTCAAGCTGCAAACCATCACACACTAACATGATATCTCACCAGACGCATGAATTGTGAATTGTAAATTTAACAAAATACCGCTACCGATATACACATCCTCTCATCCATGGTTTCACCATCAAACTTTACTGTGTCCACCACCGACTAATGTACAATACTCGCTATATCAAGAGTGTACACTGTTGTATAGAGTGTACAATACTCTTGTACTCACAACTGGTCAATATGTAGAATACTAACGAGAGTGTACACCACTCTTCTACAGAAACCTTTAATATAATGTACACCACCTTGCATCCACGTGTACACTTTTTATCTACAGTGTACACTGAGGAATGAACACATGTGTCTACACCACCGACTAATATCCATGTATACACCAACATCCTTTTCATAAGTAAAGGGACTTTCTCACGTTGGTAGTGTTCATTTGCAATTATGTACACTCCCCCTCGTTGTCTACATTAAAATTATGTACACTCCCCTCCCACATTTAAAGATAGAGCTTCACTAACAAGTTTAAAGTTGTCTTCATTTTTGTGTATACGACATTCCAGGAAATAGTGTACACTAAAAAAAGACCACATAGTGTACACATTCACTTCGGCCCCTACATCGTTCATACACATTAAGCCATAAATTAACAAAATACACCCAAACCTTAACATTTCCACATATCGTAAAAAAAACTTAAAACAAGTTTTACTGAACTGGTTCCACTTGGAAACACCATCAAACGTACGAAGGCACCACCCACCCCTTGTACAGATCCATTGCATACTGCTTCCTCAAGACATCTCTAACAAACAACAGCAGATCAATCGTCGAGTAGCAGGTCAACCTCCGATCTGGAAATCGGTCCGTCGCGAAAAGCCGTTTCGGAAGCTTCACGTCCACACCATCACCAGATCCTTGCCCTAAAACAGAAAACCGAACACACATTTAACCCCTCAACCCCAAATCGAAGCGAAAAATCAAAGAAACTAAAAGCTTACCTCCGGCAGTTTCTTTGCCTCGCCGTTTCCGTCAAGCCGACATTGTTGGATCTTACAAAAAAAAACAAATCGATTTTGCTCTCCACCTCGTGCTCGACAAGAGACAAAGTTCTTATTTAAAAATGAAAAAGTTTTGTTCTTCTCGTTTTTGAGATAAAAGGAAACCGGACAGCCCCCAATAGTTACACACGAAGAAGAAATAGAAAGCAGTTAATGTTTCTGTCTCGGGTACGCAACCAGGGGAAAAAAGTGATTTTTTGAATTTTGAATAACAAAACAAAAAAGAACTAAACCTAACTAAAAGGGTACCGACATTATATGGCTAGTTACACGATCTGGAGGGATTGTTTAAGTCTTTTGACACAATAACTGCCCTTGTATAACAAACTGTCTCAGGATGAAAGAGAAACTTGAAAACTGCCTCCACGTGAAAATAACTCTTTATTTAAATCCAATTCGTACAATTCAAATCAGTTTAAACTGTTACCAGTTATAAATTTAATTAAAATCAATCTAAGTTAATATAAATGCTTTAAATTAAACAATTAATGTTAGTATAATTCTTTTTATTTTGTGTATCTAATTTTGATAATTCATCAAAATAATTTTATGATTAAAAATTAAAAATCTATATTTTATATAAATTTAAAATATATTTATAGTAAATAATTAATTCATTAACTCTAAATTTCGTCCAAACTCAGAATAATCTGCAGAATCGCTAATATTCTATAAAACGATTATTTACCGTTTAATATTTTTTTTTTTCAGTTACAAAAAAAAAAAATAATAATAATTTTTTAATATTCTCTTATATATTAATTGAGAAGTCACTTAAGTGAATTTATACACATGTCATCCACAGATGAGTTCTATGATTAATTATTATAATTTGATTGGTCCACAGATTTTAATTTTTATTGATTTAATTTGAATATAAAAATAATAATCATAACCAGCTTATATCCATTGCCAGACAATCCAAAGAATATTATGAAAAATGTATCCTTAAATTTCAGACAAAGTTATTGTCAAACATATCCAATAACAAAAATTCAAATAGAAACATTATATTTAAAAAGAAGCATTCGAATATTTTACATTTTTGAACATTCAAAATGTAGAGTCTTATTATATCATTTTATACACAATATAAAGATTGAAGACTTTTTACTATAACAAACAGAATAATATACATATTTATCTTACATATTAAAAAATTAATACAATTATTGTTGACAAATACATCATTTCTTTATAAATGAAACTTTTTATATCAATTTAAGTTACACATTAAAAACAAATTCATAAAAGTTCTATTTAAAAAAATTATTATGGGAGAAAGATACATTTAGTGGAAAATTTTATGGTTTAAAATCTATAAATGATAAATAATTACTTTTAGAATCATTTGTAGGGTCTTCAATCATGAATAATGGATATTATATCATTAATGTTTTTTAATGAAAATTTCTACCAAGTTTTTATTCACACAACAGCTTCTTAAAACCTACTATATATTTAATCAAAATCGTTCAGTGATTTTTCTTATATGTCAATCATATATAAAAACTTTAAAAATTGTTATAATTTGAGTAATTGATGATTTTAATTTTATTTATTTTATCAAATCTAAAGAGGTAATCATAGAACCAATTGATGTTAATTACCAAATAATCCATATACAATCTTACTAATAATAATTTATAGTTTCTAATGGTAGAAATTATTTATATAATACTTCATCATCTATTTTTTATTAATTAGTAGTCTATTTATAATCCATATAAAATATATTTTTAAGAAATAGTTAATAAAACTAATATACTAGCTTTATTTTTCTATTATAAACCAGCGATAAAAATAACTTCCTTTTCCTATATACTAAAACAAAAGTATTGTCAAACATATCCGATACCAAAAATTCAAATTGAAACATCAAATTTAAAAAGAACCCTCGGATATTTTACATCTTTTAAAAATTCAAAATTTAGTTGTTAATAAAATTTCATATATCATTTATAGGATTTTAAATCATGAATAATGAATATTAGTAATTATTTTAATCAAATCTAAAAGAAGTAATCCTAGAACCAATTAATGTTAATTACCAAACAATCTATATAAAATCTTACAAATAATCATTTATAGTATCTAATGGTAGCAATTATAGAAGTTTTATATAATACTTCATCATTTATTTTTTTATTAATTAGTAGTCTATTTATAAACCATATAAAATATATTTTGAAAAATAGTTAATAAAACTAATATACTAGCTTTATTTTTCTATTATAAACCAGTGATAAAAATAACTTCCTTTTCCTATATAATAATTAAGAAAAATTTATTGTCAAACATATCGGATAATAAAAATTCAAATTGAAACATCATATTAAAAAAAATCATTCGCATATTTTACGTTTTTGAACATTCAAAATTTAGTTGTTAGTAAAATTTCTTAAATCGTTTATCGGGTTTTAAATCATGAATAATGAATATTACATCATTAATTAGAGTTTACAAAACAATTTATAAATATTAATAAAATTCTTATGAAGATTTATAAAATGATTTATTAGGAATAATTTTTCATCATCTATAAGAGGTTAGAAAATATTTATGAAGATTAACAGGTTTGTAAGTTATTTAAAATTAAAACAAACCATCGATATATGTACTTAGAAAAGAACTTTATGAAGGTCTGAAATCATTTTTAATGTTTGTAAATTATTTATTTTAGACACAAAATTATTTTCTTAAGTTATAAAACATTATGAAACTATTTATAACGATTTTTAAATTCCAAAAAAGTATTCAAAAATTTTAAATTTTGCAAATGTGTTGTAAATTATATATAATTGTATATTTCCTTTATAAGAGATTATAAAATCAGAATCAAACTCAAAATATTATTTTCTTCACAAGTTCATCATCTTCGAAACCTTTTTCAAAAATCTCAAAGACAAAAAGCGTTTTGATTTTATCTAAAAAATAACCACAAAAGAAACTACATCAGTCGTAATAAATCCAAAAAATATTATGAACAAAAGTATCTTACTAAATTTATGAAAAAATTACATTCTTACATTTTATTAAATTAATAGAAATTCACATATATTTAGTTTTGTTTCTTTTTAATATTTTTTCTACATAATTTAGTTGCAAATGTGGTATTTGACACATGAATTCATGCTTTCGAGTTTTATTAATTTTCTGGAAGAAAATTTGATCTACAAACCAATGTTCTAGATAATAATGTTATAAACAAAATTTATTCTTAATGGATAAGAATCTTAATCAGCCATATATGGTTGTTGATTAAAGAATCTAATGAATTTTTTTTTTGTAAAAGTTGTAAAATCTAACTAAAGTATATAAATCATATTTAAAACTTTTTGAAAAATATTAATAAATAATATTAGTTAAAATTATCTACTAAAATTCAAGTTGAATTTTAAATATTAAAATATATTATTTCATCCCAAAAACATAAAAAAAAAATATATTATAATTTTAAAATTATTTTATCCTCAAATTTGCGGATACCACCTAGTTGCTTATTAAGTATATAAGTCACATAAACAACAAAAGACTTAGAGAAATCAAAAGAGTGGATGTTCAATTTACTGAGTATAATTAAGTTGTATAATTTAAGTGGTTTTAGATGGATTCTAAGATCATGTGATATGTGCTTTCAAATGGTTGCCACCGTTTGTTCTTATTAATGAACCTGGAAATAGGTTTAACAAACAAGAATCATATAATAAAATAATCATGTAAATTTCAAAATAAACACACACGTGCAAATCTACTAAAAAGACAAATCCTACACTTTGTCCTATAGATTTGCAGCTTGCCGTCTCAAAATAAATCCACTCTGGCTCTAAACAATCTCATTTCAACACATGCCCTTTTTTCTAGTTTCTACACATAGATCGATCAGTTCATCAGTGGCTGACCGGTTGTTAAGCACTCGGAGACGACTGAGGCGCCGGTGGAAGTGATGGCGCCGATGGTGGAGAAAACGGTGATATACGAGGTGGAGGAGTAGAACCAGGAGCTGGACAAAGACACGTAGAAGCGACGGGACTACACTTGTAGGAGTCACAATCTACAGGCTTAGACAAAAACACCTTACACTCCATGTTCGACCTCTGCTGTTTCACATCCTTGAGACAGTTCATCGTGTTATTAAAAGTCTCTAGATAACGACACGTAGGTGGTTCTCCAGTGAAGTAGTTAGACCCGTATCTGAACTCTCTAAGATTCTTAAGCAAACATAACTCCTCCGGTATTACACCGGAGAACATGTTACGCTCCACGTTCAACACCTCTAGACTCTCCATCTGTCCCATTGACTCGGGCAATTCTCCAACCAACGAGTTATAACTAATATCCAAAACGGTGACGTTTTTGAGCAGCCCCATGTCATTTGGTAGACAAGACTGTAAACCGTTGTCCATCAGGATGATCTCGTTCAGAGTCTTAGCCATCTTGCTGAAACTCGTCGGTATACACCCGTCAAACCGGTTCGACGCCAAAACCAGAACCGATACCGGAGAATTCCCCATGTTAACCGGGATTTTACTAGTGAACCGGTTACTATTCAGAAACAAAGCGTCAAGATCTTTTTCGAATAGAGAATCTGGTAACCCCCCTTCGAATTCGTTGTACCGGAGATCAAGGTACTTTAATTTCGGTAAACCGATAACCACTTCGGGGAATTTACCAGCAAACCGGTTATTGCTGAGATCGAGTTCAAACAAGAGACTCAGCTGAGAAAACCCGAGTGGGAGGGTCCCACAGAACCGGTTCGAGTTGACGTGGAACAAAGCAATGTCTGTAAGGAGGCCAAGCTCTTCAGGGAGATGGCCGGCGATATCTCCATGGTTTAGATCAACGCCGGAGACTGTTTTGTTTATAGAAGGATCGTCGAGGGCTTCAGAGCATACAACTCCGTTGTAGTCACACACACGGGGTCCGAACCAGTTTAACGTTAGGTTCCACGGGTCAGAGATCATGTTCCGTTTCCACGCTTGTAACGCCACGTAAGCTCTCTCTAGTCGTACGTTTTCGAATATTAAGTATGGAGGTATCGTTATTGGGTCGTCTCGGACGTAAAGAAGTTGCCGGGACCCACTATAAGTGGCGGTCGTGACGGGAGATATGTAAAGTAAGATGACGACGGCGGTGAACAATAATATGGTTGGTTGATAGATCCTCATCGATCACAGTAAAATGTGTTTAGTTTTGTTAGTGCACTTCTTCGTCTTCTTTTGTTATTATCTTTTGTTTTAGTTGTAGATTTGAATCTGTGAAAGAGAGAGATTAGCAGTGAATGCTTCTGGTTCTTATTATTAGATGTGATAATACGAGTAAGACAATATATGTTTCGCTATTTTTAGATTGTCAAATCATTTATTCTGTGTTCAAAAAAAAAAAAAATCATTTATTTTATTACAGCATCGGCGTTGACCCGGATGTCTAAAACCTGTATTTGTTTTTTATTTTATTTACATGAGAACAGATAAACTGTATTTTTCTTTCATTATTCAGTGTACTGCTGAAAACTAACTAAAACGGTTTTAGTTTTATTTTAGAAGAAAAGGTAACCTAATTTTTTATATTAAGATTTTTTTTTTTTGTCGGCAATTTGTATATTAAGATTAATCCTTTTTATTTGGAATTGACTTGGCAAATGGGAAATGAAAATCATCCCACTAGTTTAGCGTCTGAGTAAACCAAGTTTAACAAAAGTATAGTTAAAAATAGGCAGACAGTATGCGATGATGCTAGTTTTTAGAGATGAAACATAGGGATTTGTTTATAGCTGAGTTACTGGCTATCACTTAATTTTTTGTACTGTCAACCTTGATACGAAACTAATAGAAACGTTTAATTAACCTTCATATTACATTTTTTGTTAACTTGAAATTATATAAAGATTCTAGGGTTGATCAATTTTAATAAGATTCCTAGATGATAATCCGCTCCATGCGCGGACTGAACTTTTTTAAAAATATCTTATATTTAAATACATATTTTGTTATCAATAATTTTTTTTACATTTGATTAGGGATGGACATTCAGATACCATTTAGTTTGGTTAGGCTCTGTTTGGTTTAGAATTTTGTGGATTTGATTCGAATTTTTTCAGGTTCGGTATGGGTTTAAGTTCATATAACCTTTTTTTTTTTAAAAAAAGACTAAAGTTCATATATATTTTATATTTCTCAGAATCTAAAAAATAAAAATAATATATAACATATAAATTTGAAAAATGTATGCCAAAATACTAAGTTTAGCATAAATTTGGTTTATCTTAAATATTTGGACAAAAATTAATAAATATTCAAGTATGTTGGTATTTGAAGTATTGTTTAGCTATTTTAAAAACTGCACATTTAACTAATTTATATATTTCTAAGTATTTGGAAATTTTTAAAACATCTCATGTATTTTTTATATTCTTAGATGTTAAATTTAAAAATAATTATATTTAAGTATATAAATCTGGTTTGAGTACACTCGGATATCCGAAATATTTTGATTTAGTTTCGGTTCTCTTGATATCAAAATTTTGAATTCGTTTGGATATCAAACCAATTTTGGTTAAAGTTATGCACTGTATTTTGGATTAGATTTGGTTTAGTTATTTAGATTAATATTTTTTGCCAACCTTATATTTTTTATTGTAACAAAATTTTAAAATAAAGGGATGATGGTTCATATTTTTGGGTATGCAACAATTTTTAAACCAAAATACACTCTATTATATACATGATCCATTTAGTTAATCATTAAAAAATGTTCAAGGCCCATTAAAAAGACGATTTATTGAACTAAAAACGTTACCAATAATCACAAAATTTTTAATTTGAGATTTTTACTATTTTCAGTAATTTATGGTTGTTTTAAAAATTTCAAAATATAAGATATAAGAAAAAATCTATTTTATTTTATTTTATGATTAATATGATTATTTAACTTACTTTTAATAATATAAAATTAAATAAAAACTAAAGAGGATAAAAATTGTTATCAAATATTTATTATTCGTAATCATTAATTATGATATATATGTTAATCATATTAGGTAATTCCGTAGCTTTTATTTAAAACAATAATAAATAATATTTTTTGTACTTTACTAATTAGATATGATAGTTAATTTAATAAAAATATAGTGTATATTTAGTTGGACCAACATATTTTTCTAAGAATTTTGAAAATCATTCTCCTTATGACACTCAACTACAAAAAAATGTCGTAATGCTCCAGGATTAATATATAGGAGATTATAATATTATATATGTGATGACTGAGCTTAAAATATTCGTGTGTGTTAGTGAGTTAATTAACGTTATTTTAAGTTATAGATTTTGATTAATCAGAATAGAAACGGTTATGTATGACTTAAATACACGTCAATTAAATTGAAAAAAACAAAGAGCAGTAACACAAATTATGAAAGCTTTGGAGAATGTTTAAGAAAAGACCAAAACAAAGAAATCATAAACAAGGAAGAAAATATGAATTCATTTGGTTTGACTCTAGTGCTATATTTGCTTAAATTTCGAGTGATGCCGTAATGTAAACTAGATTTTAAACCGCACGTCTGTGCGGATATATTTATATTTTTAAAATATAAAATAAATAATAATGATATATTAGATCTTGACTCGCGTAACCGCGCGGATGTTCTTTTCAGTTTTATATACATATATATTTATTTCAGTTCATTAGTGGTATACAATTTTAACGTTAACCATATATTTAAATGTTGATATACATATTTCAAATATAATAATTTCATAGTTTACATAGTATAATTAATCAATAGTTTAAAATCATCACATGTATTTGTCGTTTTTATTATATATTTATATTAACTGTATTTTTATTTAGTTATTTAACAAATTAATATATGCATGAAAAACATATTTGAAAAATTATTTTGTATCAAATTTATATTCAATTCTAACCCGCCAACCTTCAACGTCGTATTTCCTTTTGACAATATTTTTAATGTTTATTCATTTAAAAATATACTCTTTGTAAATACAAAAGTTTAAGATATGTCAACTTGATGTATCATATAGTTTGCGAATGTTAAGTCGTTATGTAACCGTATCATATTTTTAACATAAATATTTTATATTTATGAAAATAGAATTATAAATTTATCAATTAAATATGATTTATTATTTAATTTAATATAATAGTTTTATTTTAACATGAATTATTATTATTATAAAATAGATAAAAATAAGATATAATTTTTATGTTTCATTTTATAAATGATAATCAAATATATATTAATGCATAATAATAATTAATTAGACTTCCTGAAAATTAAGATATTGTTAAAATATTTCTCAACAGATTTGTTAGAATTATATATATTTATATTAAATAAAAAGATATCATGATTAAAATAGTTACAAATAGTTTATATTATTAGCTTTAATGAAATACATATTAATTTTCATACATATATTATATAGTTTGCGAATGTTACCCTTGTATTAATAGCGTCAAGCTCATAGTATACTTAATCATGATAGTTTTGATATTGTTTGCAAATTTTATTAAATGTTTTGTTTATAAAATATTATTCTCGAAATGTTGTATGTGAATATATTAAATTATTTTATATTATATTTTATAAATATTATAGAATAATATATTAATTCAGTTAAATGTTCTTATTTTTACTACAAAAATCAAACATAAAATGTTAGAACTAATAAAATATTATTTATTTTTTTATATTAAACAATAATTTGATATTTTAATAAAAATATATTAATATTTATTCTTTGTAAATTGGTCAGATAATCCTCTCACGATTAGATAAAATCTTATATAATTAATTATTAATTTCATTTCTTTAATTTCGAGAGTACCTTCCAGACACACTAGACATTGGCGATGTACCTGAAACCACCATGCCTTCAACTTCCTCAGCTCCAGAACAAAAGAATGTGACTTCCTCCTGATTTGATGAATCCTAAAATGTGAAGTATTATAAATTTCTTGTAATGAATATGATATGAAGTTATAGATGGTTATCTCAGGAGAGATCTCTTTTTATGTTTTCCTCTCCCCCTGCTTTGTTTCCTGTGGGAAAAGAAGGTACAAATGTATAGAAACTTTTTTTGAGTAATTCAAGTTTGATGTTGAGAATTGGGATCGTTCTTATGGTGGACGAAGGATATGAATCATTAATAGCCTCTCTGTTCTCTTGGCCAACTTTTGAGTCTTACTCTCCTTTGCTGCTCAATATCACGACTTATGAAGTGATATGTAGTATGTTGGCTTCCGTACATTTTATTTTTTGTTTCTTATTCTAGTGTTCATCAATATAGCCGATTATATTAGTTAATCATTTGAGTCAATTTAAACATTTGTTAATAATGTCAATGTTATATAATACTAGCTATGGACCTGTGCGTCGCACGGATTTCAATTGATGTTTTAATTTCATGAAAAATATAAAAATAATAAAAAAATTGCAATCGTTGGATTTTTGCACATATTGCGTAAAACTTAATTTAAGAATAAAAGTTGTTTTTTTACATAAGTTTTGGTTAGTATTTATGTTTTAGTAACATTTTTTTAAGTCGGCTATGTTTCAGTAATCATAGTGCATAAACAGTTATTAGCAATTTTGAATTTAGGGGTAGAAAAAAATCTAAACCCAAAATATTAAATTGAATCTAACCCTGGAAAAATATGAATTAGAGTAAATTACAATAAAATAGAAAGTTGAATCAACGCAATCGAATAGATGACAATATATGCATTTTTAAAAATTTCTCTACCTTAAAAGAAAATGTTGTGAATAAAATTACATCTCTATATTTAGAGACAGCCTTACGCTATATTTCTATAAAAATAAAAAACTCTATTACAAAATCATACAATTAAGCAAATCTACCTTTATAATTCAATTTCACTATTTCTAAGGAAAATATACTCTGTAGATGAATTAAAAATTATCTTATTTGTTTAACTAAGAGAAAACATTGGATCAACATTTTTATCATGTAATCTGTAGGTAATAAAACTATTAATACATTATGCATTTCAATACCACTTTATTCTTGTAACCACAAACATGTATTTTGTGAAGACTATGTTTTCAACTCCTTATTTTTATAAGTATTTAATATTTTTTAGTATTTAAACCTACCTTAAAAAAAAATACTACTATTAAATAGTTATTTATATGGAAATATGATTTTTACTGTTTTTGAAAGACTTCTTAAAAATGGAAAACAAACTTTTTAAAAGATTATGTTTAAGATTTTTAAAAAATAATATTACCTATTAAATTGATTTTTTTTTTAATTTTCTAAATCTAATATTTGTTTAACAGAAAATACTATTCAATACTTTTAAGAGAAATATTTGGTAAATATTTTACAAATGTGATTAAATTTATATTCAAATAATGTTTAGTATTTTATAACTATCTTAAACCCACATAATAAAAATGTATAATTTTGAATAATAATTAATTATATGGAAATATAATGTTTATAGTTTTTTGCTTAAGATGTTTTTTTCTAAAACAGGAAAAGTAACTTTTAAATTATTTTAGTTAAAGTTTTTCTTTTAAAAGACTGTTATTTAACACATGAAATATATAATTGTCATGTTTAGTGATCGTGTTAATTAACAAATTTGAAAACTAAGCTTTATATAATAAGAAAGTTTTTTTTAAAAAAAAAGGAAAAGTAACTTTAAAATATTTTAGTTAAATTTGTTTTTAAATTATTATTTAACACATGTCATAATATTAAATATATAATCGTTAGATGTCCCCAATCATGTTAGTTACCAACTTGGAAAACCAAATTTTATATAATGACATGTGTCAAAAATATATAATACAAATCTCTTCTGTGTAGGATTTACTAAAGGAAAATTATTATTAAAAAAAAAAATTCTTATGGTTTCTGTTTATGATTTTAGAAAAGGAAAATTACTATAAACAATTTTTTTCACAATTATATTTTGATTATGATTTAAAATAAGTTATTAGTAAATAATTATTTCAGTAAATATCAAATGGTTTTTTAAAAGTGAAAATTTTCCAATTCGTTTTTAATATCTTTACATATTTTACAAATTTGTTTTAGTTAAACTGGCTTTAGTATTATAATTATCATCAACTTCTTAAAAATAAAAATTATTAATTAACTAAATTATATAATTATTTTTGTCAGGATTTAAAAAGAAATATAATAAAAATTCTATTTTGGTTTAAAAAAGGAAACTAAAATTTTAGATTATTTTTATATTCTTTTGGTTTATGTTTTTTTTTTAAATGAAAACTATTTTTTAATACATGCCATGATCTTAAATATATAACTGTAATGTCTCAGGAACATGTTAATTATAAACTTTAAAAAACTAAGTTTGTAATTACCTTACACCCATGTTTTAGAAAAAAAAAATATTGTTAAAATTTTATTTATATGAAGTTATTAAAAAAATAGAAGTTTCTATATCCAACCCTTCTACCTTCTTTATATGTATTCAAGTTTGACTATATTCATCTAAAATATTACAATTCTCTTTGGTTTAATATTTTTAACAGGGAAAATACAATTAAATATTTATAAGAAAAATATTTTGTAAATATTTTATTTTTTTATAGAAATTTATCTTAAGATAATGTTTAGTGTTAATTATCTTAGACCATGTTTTAAAAAAGAAATGTTGTTGTTAAAATTTTATTTATATGGAAATATTAAAAACGTTCTTTGTTTAAGAATTTTTTTAAAAAATTATCTTTTAGATTATTTATATATTCTTTTGGTTTAAGTTTTTTTTTTTAAAAGGAAAACTGTTATTTAACACATATCATAATCTTAAATATATAATTGTCATGTATCGCACTAATATGAATTAGCAACTTTGAAAAACCAAGCTTGTATCTTAAACCCATGTTTTGAAAAAATAAATACCAATTTTATTTATATGGAAATATTAAAAAAAAAAATTTGTATAAGAATTTTAAAAAAGGAAGTTAACTTTTAAATTGTTTTATGTTCTTTTGGTTTAAGTTTTAAAAAATAAAAAATAAAATCTGTTGTTTAACACGTGTCATAATCTTAAATATATAATTGCCATGTTTCATAATCATCTTAATTAGTAATTTTTTTTTTAAATACTATTATTAAATATTATTTATATGGAAATTATTCAATTTTTACAGCTTACTATATAAGCACTTATATATCCATGAATATAGGAACTTGAATCGAAAGTTAAGATTGTAATACATATAGAAAAAGAATAGTAACTTTTAAAAAACAAATATAAAATAATTATAATCTGTGTCCATAGTTAATTTGATGGAAAACATCAAATAAAAATTATAAAATATGAAATATGAAATATTACTAGATATGTATTTTATTTGCGTAAAATAGTTATTATAATCTGTGTCCATAGTTATTTTGATGGTTTAGAAAAAATACAAAAAGATTGTAATACATATAGAAAAAGAATTTATATAATCTCATCATATTCCATGAAATCGCTTTCAGACTTGGGAATGAATATATCAAATCTTTTTTCTTCAGTCTTTGCTCCAAAGAGTTCAGCAGTTGCCTGGTAATCAGCTTCCTCCACAAGCCTTAAAATAAGCCACATGGTTCTTAGGGTAACGAACCAACAGAAGAATCCAATATATATAAGTTGTGAAATGTATCAAAAGAAATATATATACCTCTGCAACCGAAGTTTGTCAGCAATAGGATCTAGAGGTTCTTCCTTTGATGATTCTTTTGGAGCTTCAACAGATTTACCCTTCTTTTTAACAACTTTTGCTGCTGCTACTGCTTTCTTTGGAGCAGGCTTTACTACAGGTGCCTACAGAAACAAGCAAAAATTGTAGTTTTAGTTTTGCAAAATTATACACACAAAAAAAACAATAAATGAAAAGAGGAAGTATACAGGAGTAGGCTCTTCATCCTCTTCCTCCCAAGAGTCCTTGATGTCATTCTCATCAACATCCTCATCATCCCAATTGCTTTTCAGTTCAACTTTTGCAGGAGTTGGTTGAAAGTCTTCAGCCTCTGAAACCAGAAACAAGTGTGACATGTCTATCTTTCTTACAGAACACAAGTAAAAAATAATAATGCATAATGTATGTAGTATATAAGTCTTACCCCAATCATCCATCTTTGTCGCTAAATATCTAGAAGAACAAAAGTACAATGTGATATTCTTGAATCCAAGTGAACAATAAAAAATCAAGATGATCTCTATGCCAATAGAAAATCAAGATTTTATTAGATGAATCAATGAAAAGTATTTAGGAAGAATCCAATTGAACAATAAACAGGTATTGTAGAAAATCGTGAACCCAAGATGAATACAAGTGAAGACGATGGATGGAGGAGGCGGAGGAGAAATTACCTGAGAAAGACGGTTCGATTCGTCGGTGAAAACTCAGATGTTGAAAATAGGGTAGACGATCTATTTCCCCCTCGAAACTATCATATAGCATCAATTCCACATAAAGTTATAGCCTCAATCTAAATCTCCCCATATTAAAAGTATAAAACGTATTTCTCCAAAAATAAATACTCCGAGTTCAATTTCTCCATGATTCAATAAATCAAAATCAGATTGCACATGTACCACAATATTTTTGGTTTATTATAAATCAATCTATGTTAACCAATTAAACCAATAATAATTCTAATCAAACAAAAACATACCAAACCAACTCCTCAATTTTCTTCTTCAGACAACTTCTATAAACCTCAGATCTCTCTCTGCACATATCACCAAGAGCCCCAGATCATAAATAATCTTCCTCCCCATCAGACAAATTATACATGTTCTTCTTCGCTTTCAACTACATAACCAAATCAAAAATCAAATTTTTGTATTGTTGCTCTGTAATTGTGTCTGTTTCCAGACGGAGAAGATGATGATGACTAATAAAGGATCTGATTTGGGACTACCACGCAGAGAAGACACATGAATATTAAGAACAAGAGTGATTCTGACATGGCTTGACTGAGAACTTGAAATTCTATGGTGCTGTTTTATTCTTGGTCCGCCGGTGAAGTTTCCGGGACTGCTAGAGCATTCAGTCTCTCACTACCACCATTACCATCAAAGCCAGTGAATGACGTCATTGTCTCTAGGTTGGTTCGTGGTGGTGGGCACTAAACAGGTTTGGAGTGTTAGGTTTGTTGAGATCAAGAGATAGTCTAGGAATCTCGTGGCCGGAGGAAGCAACGAGAGGCAAAGTGGCGAAGAGGAGATCGACGTTGACGACTCAGAGATAGCAGCGGAGGAAATAGAGCTGCAGCTGTGATTTGATTAAGCGAGGAAGAAAATTAAGGGTGTTAAAGAATAAAGAAGAAGGTTGTAACTCTGTATATCTTATTCATCACGTGCACATACATATATATACATACAAGAGAATAAGCATATTCCTTAGGAGATAAGGATTACAATAAAAGGGGATGATTATCCTAATCCTATAATGATTAGGATAACTACAACATATGGATAAATACAAGGAGCTTGAGTGTGGATAGT